CTCCAATCCTTTAGTCAACTGTGGCCAGAGTGGCTAAGCATGCCCAGGATCACACAGAGGCCAGGCTGGGATCATTTCACTACTGTGCAGACACAGACTGTAAAGCAAGGAAACAGAAAGGGCGGATCCTAATGGAACTCACCAGGAGGATGGAGGAGACCAAGGCCTTGAAATTCCAGAATTCAAGAACCACAGGTTTCAAGAGTCCAAATTAGTTCAACAGAAAGTTGGTGTTGTACAGTAAACACAAGGAAAAAAAAATGCATCCTAAGGAAATATGAAGGCAAAGGGAACAAAGGGCAGGAGAAGAATCTTAGGTGGTAGATGCCTGGCAGGCTGACTAGGGGAGCTTCCTTGGTACCTGGAGACTCAAGCTGGTAGAATTATAGCCAGGATTTTTGCTTGTTCTTGGAGGGAGGTGGCCGCAACCTTATAACTTTCCCTGGATTGGAGTGAGACTTCTCTTTCCTACTTTACTAGTGGGATCAATTTTTCCTTAACCCTGTGTCCAGGAGGTATCCACATAAGAAGTGTACACAGTGGACAAAGAATCACAACAGAAAAGAATACAGTCCTCCAGAGTAGGAACTCCAGCCCCTCAGGGGTGTCCCTTGCAGACACCATTCCCAGTCCGAGGTCCATCTGTGGGGTTGATGATACTTGAGACAGAGCAGAACAGAGAGATCACAGGCAGGGGCAAGACAGGAGCCCTGCCCACACGCACCCTGGGCTTCTTGTCCAGGTGAGCTCTGAAAGGTGCTGCTGGGAGCCCACAAAGCTACGGGCAGATGCCCAGGGGTCTGGCCAGCACTCTGACTGCTGCCCCAGGTGGTGTTAAGTTTCCATGGCAGTCTCTTTGTGACAAAACGGCCCCATCTTTTCTGGTACCAGTTACTTGCTCTGAGAGCTACTCTGTGACAGGGTAAATGAGTCAGAAAGTTTCTGATTCAGCCACTAATGAAACTGGAGAAGGCTCATTAAAGGCACTAACGAGCTTTGCCTTTCACCTCATGCTGTCTGGACTTTCTCCTGCACTTCAGCTGCCATAGTGGGCCCTGTGCTCCTCATGTGAGAGCTGTAAGGTGGACCCACTGAGGCTGAGCACATGAAGAAAGGAAGCCTTCTTTCAAGAATCCACCCTGAAGGCCCTGGAGATGACCCAGCCATGGACTACCACAGTTTCAGCAGTGTAGGAGCCAGAGGGCCGAGAGCCTACCAGGGCGAGAAGAGCAAACCAGACATGTGGCTTGGGTATT